ACATCACGGCTTGTGGCGTGGGACAGCACCACGCTTGTGGGCGTGACACATTACTGTGTGGCGCGTTACACATCACGCTTGTGGGTTGTCACATCACGCTTGTGGCGTGACACATCACGGTTGTGGCGTGACACACCACAACGCTTGTGCGTGCCACCATCACGCTGTGTGCGTGACCATCACGCTTGTGGGCGTGACACATCACGCTTGTGCGTGACAGCACCCGTTGTGCGTGACACCATTACGCTGTGCGCGTGACACATCACAGCTTGTGGCGTGACACCATCAAGCGTCTGTGGGCGTGACACTCACGCTTGTGCGTGACCACGACACGGCTTCGTGCGTGAACATTACGTGTGCGCGTGACACATATCACGGCTTGTCGCGTGAACACATCACCGGCTTGTGGCGTGACACACCACACACGCTTGTGTCGTGACACATCACGCTTGTGCGTGACACATTCACGCTTGGGCGTGACAGACCACGCTTGTGGCGTGACACATTACGTGTGCGCGTGACACACCACGCTTGTGCGTATACACAACGCTGGCGTGACACACACGCTTGTGCGTAAACACAGTTACGTGTGCGCGTGAGACACAACGCTTGTGCGTGACACATCACCGCTTTTGCGTGACACACCAACGCTTGTGCGTTGACACCAGCACACTTGTGGCGTGACAGCACCCAGCGGCTTGTGTGTGAACACAACCCACGCTTGTGCGTAATACACCACGCTTGTGGCGTGACACACCACGCTTTGTGCGTAAACACATTACGTGTGCGCGTGAGACACAAAACGCTTGTCGTGACACATTCACGCTTGTGCGTGATCACAGCCACACTTGTGCGTGATCACACCACGTTCTTGTTGCGTGGATCAGCACCACGCTTGTGCGTAATACACCACGCTTTGCGTGACACACCACGCTTGTGCGTAACACATCACGCTTGTGGCGTGACACATGCACCTTGTGGCGTGACAGCACCACGCTTGTGGACGTCGACACACTTCACCTTGAGCGTGATCACATTCAACGTGTGCGCGTGACACACTACGCACATGAGCTGCAAAAAAGTATCATGTTGGGGGTTGCTAAGGGTTCGATGAATAGGATTCCGTTCACCATTTTTTACAGCGTGCATGATCACGTGTCTGTCACGTGTCTTATCTGAGTTGTCCCTGACTGTACCACGCGGCCCAATCGCGGTGTCTATTGAGCATTTCACTGGCACACGCGAAGTCATCGGCTATGTCATCGTTCATGAGAGCTGAAGGTATAAAACATGCAGGGTGTTTAGTCATTTTAGTTACTATCTATATATTGATCTATCGATGCTATTACCTATCTATCTATCTATCTATCTATGGCTATGCTATCTTCTCTATCTATCTATCTATCTATCTATCTAATCTATCTATGCTATCTATCTATCTATCTACTATCTATGCTATCTCATCTATCTATCTTATCTATCTAATCTATCTATCGATCTATCTTCTATCTATCTATCTATCTATCTATGCTATCTATCTATCTATCTATCGTATCTATGCTATCTATTTTATCCATCCTATCTATCTATCTATCTGATCTATTCTATCTATCTATCTATCTATCTATCATCTATGCTATCTAATCTATCTATCGTATTCTATCTACTATCGATCTATCTATCTGATCTATCTATCTCACACACACACACACTCAAACAAACACACTGCGTATGGCATCAACCTATACAAACAGCTGTTCTTACGCACCGGGCCGCGACAGTAGATCTGGGGCGACACACTAATTTCACAAGAGGACCGCCTGCGGTCACTGCTGACCCCACGGAATCTGTATGGCAAACTAATGCCTCAGACGCGAGGGTCGCTGCGAGTGTAAGCCACGGGGCACGCGAATTTGGGTCGTGACAAGAAAGGATCCTGTGCCTACTGTCGTAGAAGAAGACAACTACTCTGGTCGGTACGCGAATAAGTCTTCGTTGCATAATTGTCTGCACACATGCTTCGCGAGCGCGAGGAGTAGAAGAATAGAAGTATATTCGCTATCCATCACTACTCATACGATCACGCACGTCTGATTGCACGTCTGATTGCACGTCTGATTGCATGCATTGGCATTGCCACGAGCGGCAAAATAGCGACGCAAATTAACCATAAATTTATTAGAACCTTCTCTCGATTTTCCCCAATATTTTTAATCGAATTTGGTCTCAATATTTATATCTGTAGAATTCACACACGCGCGCGCTCGCTCGTTACAAGACGCGCCGGTGTCTCCAAGCGTCGCGGCAGCGCCGGTCACCGCGCATGCGCACTCTGGTACTTACAGTCTGCGAGCATGTCGTCCCGAGCTCCCAGCCTCTGCAGCTCCGCAGCGAACTCACATCTATTGAACTGCTTGGCTTCGGCGACGATGACGATACCCAGCATCAGTACCACAACATGGCAGACAGCAGCTTTCATCATCCTGCGTGCGTGCGTGCGTGCGTGCGCGTGTGCGTGAGTACGCGTATGAATATGAGTGTTTGAGCGTGTGTGTGTATGCGAGCGAGAGCGGTTACGGTACGCTTGTTGCTAACGTTAGGGTAGCACTCTACTGAAGTTCCACAGCCGCCGCCGCGCCTCGACTTATATGGGCCTCGCGCGCGAGAGGGCGTGGTGGGCGGCACCGCTGGTTCCGGTTCGCGTGCCTCGCCGAACAATCGTCATTATCAGCGTCGTGACCATCGCCGACCTCTCCGCCGCCAGTAAACAATGTTCAAGGTGTCTGCTCGTCGCGCCGACGCCCTGATCCGCCTGGCGGCGCTGCGGCAGATGCGGAGATAGGGGAGGCGGTACCCGCCGGCCGCCAGGGGCGCTGCGGAATTACACTTAATAGTTCTGCGAAGTGTTTTCTAGCCGCTGTCGTGTTACGGATGGGCGTGTGTGCGTGCGCGCGCGCGCGCGCGCGTGTGTGTTGTGTGTGTGTGTGTGTGTGTGTGTGTGTGTGGTTGTGTGTGTGTGTGTGTGTGTGTGGTGTGTGTTGTGTGTATGTATGTGTGGTGTTGTGTGTTTGTGTGTGTGCGTGCGTTTAGTGTGTGTGTGTGCGTGTGTGTGTGTGCGCGCGCGCGTGTGAGCTTGTGTGTATGTCTGTGTTTACGTGCGCGCGCGGCGTGTATGTACGTGCGTGTGTGTACGTGCGTGTGTGCGTGTGCGTGTGTGTATGTCTGTGTTTACGTGTGCGCGTGCGTGTGTGTACGTGCGTGTGTGCGTGTGCGTGTGTGTATGTCTGTGTTTACGTGTGCGCGTGTGTGTGTGTGCGTGCGTGTGTGCGTGTGTGTGTGTGTGTACGTGCGTGTGCGTGTGTGTACGTGCGTGTGTGCGTGTGCGTGTGTGTATGTCTGTGTTTACGTGTGCGCGTGTGTGTGTGTGCGTGCGTGTGTGCGTGTGTGTGTGTGTGTACGTGCGTGTGCGTGTGTGTACGTGCGTGTGTGCGTGTGCGTGTGTGTATGTCTGTGTTTACGTGTGCGCGTGTGTGTGTGTACGTGCGTGTGTGCGTGTGTGTGTGTACGTGCGTGTGCGCGTGTGCGTGTGTGTATGTCTGTGTTTACGTGTGCGCGCGTGTGTGTGTACGTGCGTGTGTGTGAGAGCGTATGTTTGTTCACTTTCTTGGAAAAAGGCCTTAAGCCTTACAAATATTATTAAGGCCTACAAGACGCATGTGTTGTAGTTATTCAGGCGTGTCCCGCGTGAATTGTCGGATACTATGTCAGAGAATGAAAAACTACAGCGCATGGACTTGCAACACCGACAATATTCGACCTTCAAACTTTCATATATTAAAAGAAACTTCACCGTTGATAGCGATTGCTTTGAAAAGTGAAAAAGTTGTAAGATGTTTAAGTTAAAATTTACTACGTAATAAGATGTTGAAGTTTTGATCAATGTAATCGTCATGCACTTACATCCGTCTTTTCTCTTATAACTACTCGGCTATCGAGTCACTTCGCACTCGGAGTTACTGGAATGCTTCGTGCTGTCATTTCAACAGTCGGAGCGGTGACGCCCGGGGCCCACCCGATTCTCACAGCAGTTTCCATTGTTTGGCGTCAGTATAGTTCGAGACTACCCTACCGACGCCTTGCCTGGACCGTGGTTGACGATGATCGTCAGTAACTAACAATACTTTATTTGTCTTCATTAGTTTACATACACTGCGTTTGGAGACAACAATACTGAGACCTTGGCTAGACCGTGGCTGGACATAATTGTAGTAAAATTGTAAGACATTATATACTTTCATTGTAGTTTAAATGCGTTGCGCTTGAAGACCACGATACCAACGTCGTGGGTGGACTACGGCTGAACAGAATCGTAGCAAATTGGTAACAACTAACGCGTCAACGCCAGCGTCAACGCCAGCGTCAACGCCAGCGTCAACGCCAGCGTCAACGCCAGCGTCAACGCCAGCGTCAACAGCACGAGTGTATGTCACCAAAGCACTTAATCAGTACTTACATATAAATCGGATAGACTTGCTCTGATATAACCCTTGTATCGGAATCTTACAATAAATTGAAGTGTTTGTGGTGTTTCTAGTCACTTTTTATAGTTAGATTGTTCAACTATACAAGAACTATACTATACTAACTATCTATCTTAGATTGTTAATACTAACTATGCTATCAACTTTGTACAAAAATGTAATACAAACAAGGCAACAAATGAGCTAAATAGTTTACTATTGTACATTTTCAGCAGATTCGATGATACTCATTTTAATAATTTAATCCATTGCCATCCATGGCATGTCTCCATGACTTGTGTGACTACAGTTCAAGTAGAAACTATACTGTGAAAATGGCGTAGAATAAACTTACAAACTAAAAGACGTACTACACATTACGAAATACATTATATACACTTATTACTACACTTATATATTACGCAACATATCACTTAATATACAACATTGAACGCGACATATTCTTATACACTCATATCTAACACAACAGCGGATTATTAAATAAATGCTGTTTCTGCGAATTATAGCTGAGTCATACCGCTTGCCAATGTGAAACATGTAATATGCAGGAATACGTATACAGCTGGATGTTTTGTGATATCGGACGGTCATGCATCGATAATAGAGACGTGGTGGGATATTGTGATTGGTGGCAGATCATTGTGATTGGTGATAGATCATTTCGATGGGTAGTAGACCGTTGCGATGGGTGGTTCACCATTGTGATGGCGGATGGATCATTTTCGTTCTTTCTTTTGCTTCTGTTTAGCGAGTTCTTGGACGGTCATCGTGTACGCGTAAAGCTGAAACATGTACACACGCTGTTATGTACGTAGGTGTGTATGTATGAAAATATATATATATATATATATATATACCATTTTTTTAGTATACTAGGTAATATAGTAGGTATATCGACAGCCGCGTCATCAACCTATATATACACACACACACGTCGCGCATGCACGCACGCGCATACACATGCACGCACGCACGTATAAAACTACGCACATACACACACGTACGCACTCACACGCAAGAACACACACACGCACGCACGCACACACATACACGCACGCACGCATGCACCACGAACGCACGCAGACAACACACACACACACACACACACACACACAATGCATAATATATAATATATATATATATATATATATTATTTATTTATTATATATATATTATACGTGCTTCAGTGCAGTGGTGCTGTCGTCACGCATCATTGTTTTTTCTCTCACCAGTTCGGGTTGTTCGCTTCACAAGGTCGTACGCCATCTGTGGAGAACAACTCCGTCCGTTGTATTCTCCTGTGCGCTTGTCTCGAAATACTTCGATGATGGTACTTGCCAACTAACGACAACGACAACGTCAGCTACATAGGGGGGGGGGCACCACTGAGAAGGAAGGGCGGGATATTGGGGACGCTGGATTGCTGGGAACCGGGAAATACCAGAAAAATGTTTAAAATTGTGGTTTACTTGGAAGCATAGAAATGGTACTTTTATCTGCTGGGATACTGCGAATGGACACCCTTCCCCTCTGCCGCCGCCATTCTCCTTATCGGCGCTGAGAAATTTCTATATAGTCCTATATATGGCCTGTATTCATCGCTGGTTCCGTAGGGACTATGGGATGAAGCTATTGTCGGGTAGATCCGCTTGTACTTTTCCACCTTGTCAAGCAATATAGATTAAAGTGGTTTCTATCATTGGCTTTTCTCGAATCTCTGGACGGTTGTATTAGACAAGTTCTGCTGTAAAATGGCGGTAAGTATACATACAGGTGTTAATGATTGCTCAATTTCCTCACACTCGTCCCGGTAAGCTGTAATCACTCACCTTCTCCGCCGACGCGCCAGCTTTATCTTGCGCTGCACCAGAGGTCGCATTTATTGCCGACGATGATCACCTCCTCGCTGTCGATGTCGGCTCCGCCAGGGTGCGCCTCGCAGTAGTTGATTGAGTCAAACGTGTTCTATCGGTGATTGCGAAGACAAAGAAGGAGACGCCTTCGTTCCGCGATACATGAACTTGTTAATGTCACGGAATCGTTCCTGACCGCCGTGTCCCTCGCAGTGCATGCAAACAGGCAAATAACACGCAGAAAAAACCTGACACGCTACACAAACAAACAGACAACAAACAAATAAACAACCTAATTGCAAAAATATAAACAAACGAACAGACAAAGCAGCACACAACTAAACAAACCAACAAACATATAGACAGACAGATGAATCAATAAACAAACTGATAAACAAACAAACAGACAAACACTTAACATGATTGATTCTACAACCCCTCCGGCAATCAACACAACCGTACATGATTTAAATGTTTTGGCCTTGCAGCGCGCAGCACCTACCAGATCTGCAGACGCACTCTGTGTCCGGTCGACGTCGTAGTCCTGGTTAACGAAGTCGACGCCGACGTCGCGGCATCAGGTTTCTCGGTGTACGTCTCGTGTCGCATCGAGTTGATGAGCGACGTCTTGCCGACGTACGACTCACCGATGACGAGCACCTTGGCTAGATTGACGTCATAAGTCGATTCCATCGATTCTTGTTGAATTCGCTATCGGATCGGCTTCGCGCACTGTTTCAAAGCGGAATTATGTTCAAAGCCATTTATTCTTATTTGTTGCTGTCTTTCCACGTGTCTATTGCATCCCATGTCTCATTCTCTATCTCCCTCCCTTTCTCTTTCTATTCTTTCTCCCCATACTATATCCTCTTCCTCTCTCGCCCTTCTCTCGCTATCTCTCTCTCTCGATCTATCTGCCTATCTATCTATCTCTCTATCTCTCTATCGCGCGCTCTCTCCCTCTCCCGTCGGTGCGTCGTGCGTGCGTGCGTGTGTGCGTAATCTCTCTATCGCTCGTCGTAATCAATTCGACAGTTTCTTACCCAATATTTGTTACAGACACAGCAGTTGTTTACACTAAAAGCGCAACATCAGCTATATTATAAATCAGTCGTCCGCGCAGCAATCACGAACCAGCGTTCATCCTGCATACTGCTAGCAGCTGTAGCTGAAGCCACACGACTGCTGGAGGCCCGCATCCCCGGATGGCAGGTAAACTCGTGTTGTGTCGAAATGCTCGCTCGAGCCTTCGCTACATCCCGACCATAAGATGTATACCACATGTGCAAATGTCAGATATATATATATAAGAGAGAGAAGAGATTTGTGGTCAGAAGTAGCACGGCAGCGTTCAGCCACCTTGAGAAGTCAGTCTCATGCGAGCCTGTAAACACAACTGTAACGTATTCACGGATTTATCTGGCCAGCGAATCATTACATCGTAGCTGAAGCCGTATGTGTGCGTGCGTGCGTGCGTCGTGTGTGCTGCGTGCGTGCGTGCGT